CCCGCCCAGACTGACGTGTCCCTCAAGACGAGGCCACGTGATGGGAGCGTCCATTCCGCACAGACGCAGGGTTCGCCCCCCGTCCGATTTTGGAGCGCCCCGTGTGTCTCGAAGTCCCAGCGGTGCTCAACTGACGGTCTCATGTGCTGCCGGCTGCTCGTCACGCCGACTTCAGCACAACACGTGCACTACGCGGCGCTCAAGCGGCTGACACCTCGACGCAGGCATCCTGCACGCTCAGCACTACACCAAGATGCTCTCGTCCGGAGCCCTCGAGAGGCTGTCTCCGCTTCCGGACAAGTTCGAGCACCCACAGCTACTATCACCCCGTCTTCGGCAAGGCCATCCTGGCCCGGTACCGTGTGCCAACGCCTCCGGGGAAGCCCTGCGGACGGGCTCTGGCGTGCGCTTCCCCGAGTTCGTCCAGTACCTGCTGGACGTGCACCGGCCGGTGGGCATGGACATCCACTGGGACCACGTCAGCCGGCTCTGCAGCCCCTGCCTCATCGACTATGACTTCGTGGGCAAGTTCGAGAGCATGGAGGACGATGCCAACTTCTTCCTGAGCCTCATCCACGCCCCGCGCAACCTGACCTTCCCCCAGTTCAAGGACCGGCACTCGCAGGAGGCACGGACTACCGCGGGCATCACCCACCAGTACTTCGCGCAGCTCTCGGCCCCGCAGCGGCAGCGCGCCTACGACTTCTACTACATGGACTACCTGATGTTCAACTACTCCAAGCCCTTCGCTGACCTGTACTGAGGGCCTGGCGGCTGCCCGTGGGCACCCTGCCCACCACTCACCTGTCCGAGGGGCATGTTTCCTTAGCCAGGAGCTGAGATGTACCCAGAACAACTGGGCGCCGAGGACGTGAGGAGCTGTGGCTGCTGCCGGCCCTGGTGGGGACAGAGGCCCGGGCCTTGGGTGGGGACCCTGGCTCAAGCCTCATAGCCACTTCCTTCCTTCTTGGCTGAGGAAGGTATGGAGAGGTGTGAGCTGGTCACCCAGGAGTCCCAGCTGCCCACACCCAGCTCAGCCGGGAGTCAGGATGACCAGGGAAGCCTGAGGCCCGAGGATGAGGGCCGGGTGGTAAGGGATCTCCTGCAGTCCCTTCGCCATTGCCTTGTACCAAACCACAGGGTTTGCAGCTTTTCTATGACCCAGGAGGAGGTTCCAAATAAAGCACATGGTTTCCAGAACAGCAGTGTCTACACTCGGTGTTGGCGTGGGAGCACCAGCCCTTTCCCGGGGCTGTCGGGGGCTCTTTCTCCCTCCCCAGAGCAGCCAGAGCCAGGCGCCCACAGACCCGGTTGCACGGAAGTCCAGGGCAGGAGTGGCCAGTGTGTGTGACAGGAGCAGCTTGCAGCAGCTTCCATTCCGGGCCAGCTCCTCACACTCAGGCCTCCGAGGCCAGCACTTGGTTAACTGGGTCCTCCTGTCTCGGTACCAGCACCCTCGTCTGCAAAACGATAGACCTGTCCCCACGGAGGCCCACTGGGTCTCTTCTGGTCAGTGCTCTTTGTGGGGGCCCTGTGAGGACTGCCAGGGCAGTGACAAGCTGCCATTTGGGGTTGCCACTGGGCTTGTTGCAGTGCCCGTGGGTCCCAGTGGGTGTGGCATTGCCAGGCAGGGAGTAATGCCATCCCTGGCTTTCTGAACCTCTGGGCTAAGCAGAGCTTTGGACTAAGCTGCCATCTTCAGACCTTGACCCTGGCCTTGATCCCTGGCTCCATTCACCTGACAAGACCACCTCAAAGTTGTCAGGATCATCTTCCCCTGGTGAACCAGGTCTGGGGAAGGGGGAGGAGAGGCTATAGAGAAAACATCCCAAAGCATACATTTTCACACAGGAATGGCTCTGAACTTGTCAAAAGCCAGGGAGATTCCTGGAAGGTCTTGGAGAGAGTGTTTGTTGGAGTGTGGGTGTGACTGTGGCCGCTTTGGGTCTTGTTTGCAATGGGAAGTGCTGCCTGACTGTTTCTAGGCATCTGTGGGTCTGTCTGCCTACCTCTGGGTCTCATTTTTCTGTCTCTCAGGAGTATGCTGCTCGCCCTTCTTGGGCCCCCTGTAGTCTCTGTAGATCTGTCCTAGGAGATTGCTCTCAATCTGTTCCCACTGGTGAGGGGAGGTGCTGCTGGACCCTAAGAAGGAGATCCTGTGGTCTCCACGGTGGGACACGCTGCTGGATCCCACCCTGGACTGCAAAGCTCATACTGGAGTGAGCTGCCCCATCTCCTTCTCTGCCTCCGACATGGGCTCTGGAAACTTACAAAGGCGGAACAAGGAGTTGAGGCTGCCACCTGCCTGTTCAGGCCACATGCGTCCAAGAACCCTGAGTAGGGTGAGGCTTCCCCTCAGGTTGCAGCTGGAGTGGCCTGGGCCATCTGACAGAAGGAACCCAACATGCCAGGGAGGATGCTGTCTGTGGTCAGGGCCTGAGGGTGTGGGAGGCAGGAAGCAAGATGCCAAGAGCCAAAGAGGCTGACCCACCAGCACCTTGGCCAGGGCCAGAGCAGTGTAAGAGGAGGCAGGAGGGCTAACAATGGCCCAGAAGCAGCTGTCCCCAGGCTGTATGCCCACAAAGTCAGACAGAATTCATGGTGCAGAAACAGTGTCTCTGGTCACGGATGCATTGGCTGAGCCTGAGGCAGTGTCACTGGCCATCAGCTCAGCTTAGAGACAACCAGGATTGCCCTGAGACCATCCTCCACAGTGTGCATGTGCGAGTGTGTGTGTGTGTGTGTGTGTGTGTGTGTGTGTGTTGGGGGGTAGGAAAAGACATCTTGACTTGTGTCATCTCTCAGAGACAACCCAGACCTGAGTTGGGCAGATATACACACACAACACATCCATCAAAGAGGGGTCTTCCTCCTGGGTGGTAACAGGTGACACAGTCCTGGCCCAGCATGACTGCCAGGCCCAGTCCTGAGACCTCACCCTGAATCCACTGAGGTGGACCCAACTCCTCCCCTAACCCCAGCCTCAAGCCTTGTATAGCCCTAGGGCTTGGGGACAGTGGAGCTAACTGCCAATACAGGAAAGTGTGTGTGTGTGTGTGTGTGTGTGTGTGTGTGTGTGTGTGGTGGGTGTCTGGGCTGGGAGAGTGGATGGGTGAGTATGTGAGTCTATATATATGTCTGTGTGTCTGTGAGTGTGTCTGTGTCTCCATGTATGTGTCTCTGTGTGTGCATCTGTTTGTGTGGGTGTGTCTGTGAGGGTATATGTGTCTGTGTGTGTGTGTCTGTGTAAGTGTCTGGGTGTGGGGTTGAGCATGTGAGTCTTTATGTGTATATATGTGTGTGGGGGCGGGAGGGGTTAGGTGTGGTAGGTGTCTGACTATGGGTATCTGTCTGGGGTGAGGGAGTGTGTATGTGTGTGAGCCTGTATAATATGTCAGGGTTGGGGGGGCCTTGGACAGTCCTCCCCCTCCTCCCTGGGACCATCTTGTGCTGCCCATCCCTGCCCTACTTCACCTGCTTCCACTTTGTGGGTATAGTGTGGAGAGAGGGCTGTCTGGGTCAGGGTCCTAAGAAGGGCCCACAGGCGATCAACGGAGAGGTCAAGCAGCCCACCATGCATGTAGGGAAATTAACCACTGAACCCCCAGTGCCCTTCCCCTGCCTCTCTGGGGCAGCCCACAGTGGAGTCCCTGCCAGGCCTTTGCCCTCAGAGCAGCTCAGACCTCCTCAGACACGAGCCTTGCTCTCTGAGTGATGAAGAGGACAGACTAGGGTCCTCCTGGAGCCTGTGAGCTCTAGGAGACCTGAAGTCTGGGGAGATGAGATTTGAGATCCGCCAGGTAGTCAGGTGTGACATTCAGGCGCCTTGGGCCTCCAAGACACAGCCAAACCCTCCTACTCCCCACTGTGTGGGCTTCGCCTCCCCCACAGGGAGGGGCCCAGGACAGAGATAGGCAGGCAGTGGATGGAAGGACAGTTCTTCAGCACCCCTCCCCTCCCATGTGCCAATTTCAACCTTGGAGTTGTACCTCCTTGCTGGGGGGTGGGGCACTGGAATCTCAGGAGAGGCCTGGGTCTGGCAGGTGATCTCCCCTCACTCCCCCCCTCCCGCCCCCATCCTTAGCTTATCATCTCTGAGGAGCACCCGTGGCTCATCAAGGGACTTTCCTCCTGGTGTCTCCTCCCCACTCCACCCAGGGCAGCAGGACCTGGAGCTGGGCACAGGGAGCTCAGTGCTGACCCATGGGCACAGGAATGGACCAGGATGGTTCCCAGGAGCTGGGGGCAGGCTACTGGGGCTGAGCAGGGCTGAAATGATCTGTCCTCATCTTGGGGACCCTGTGTTGATGGGTAAATGACCTGGATGAGGAATAAACCGGCACCCTTAGGGAGCTGTGGGCTTGCCCTAGTGTGGGGAGAGGAGGGAGGGAGTTGGCCATGGCTGCCCTCTCAGAGGAAGTGGCTCCATGGTCCACTCACCCATGCTGGAGGGGAAAGGGAGGGGGAGTGAGACCCCTGAGCTGTGGTCCCTCTGGTGGCCTGGCCTGGCCTAGCGCTGAGGCCGGCGTTGCTCCCAGACTCTTCACCCTGCCCTTTGCACAAGAGTCTCAGCTGGGATAAGGTGGCCAGGAGCGGAGGGTGGCCAGGGGTCTGGTGGGGCT